TATAAATGCAGAATTATGAGATACAAATGCCAAATTATAAGAAAAGAAGTCAGAATTATGAGATATAAATGCTGAATTATAAGATATAAATGCCCAATTATGAGATATAAATGCAGAATTTTGAGAAAAGTCAGAATTATGAGATATAAATGCAGAATTATAAGAAAAAAAGTCAGAATTATGATATATAAATGCAAAATTATAAGAAAAAACTCAGAATTATGAGATATAAATGCAGAATTTTGAGAAACATCTGAAATGTGAGATATACAGTAAATGCTGAATTATGAGATATAAATGCCGAAATATGAGCAAAAAGTCTGAATTATGAGATATAAATGCTGAATTATAAGACATAAATGCCAAATTATGAGATATAAATGCAGAATTGTGAGAACAATCTGAAATGTGAGATATAAATGCCAAATTATAAGAAAAAATGAGAATTATGAGATATAAATGCAAAATTTTGAGGAAAATCTGAAATGAAAGATATAAATGCCGAATTATGAGACATAAATGCAGAATTATGAGAAAAAAGTCTGAATTGTGAGAAAAATAAATCTGAATTATGAGATATAAATGCAGAATTATTAGAAAAAAAGTCTGAAGTATGATTTAAATACTGAATTGTGAGAAAAAAGTCTGAATTATGATATATATAAATGCTGAATTATATAAATGCAGAATTCTGAGGAAAAAAGTCAGAATTGCTAGATAAAAAGTCTCAGTTATATATTTAGTTTTATTTATTCGGTTGCAGAAACGGGTTTCCATAGTATGAAGCTTCCAGAGGCTGTGACTGATCAATAGATGGCAGCTGTGAACATCCAGTACATTCTGGAGTCATCACATACTACTACAATAATGTGTAGTATTATTATTATCATAAGGTGTGCACGGCCGTTCTGTGATTGGCCAGTTACCCGGTTGAGTTTGATGAGCACGCAGGGTTTTCCGTCCTGGTATCCGTATGTGTGGTCGCTGAGTCCGGAACATTCTTCCAGCACGGTGCGGTTGAACTGGCAGGAGCGTTTGGGGTTGTTGCGCACCTCTCCGCTGTCCTCCTGGGTGAAGTACTGATCCGGGACGCAGGCGTCGTTCTTCATCACCTGCTGAGAGTCGTTATAGGCTGCAGAGAAACACGGAGCAAACGTCAGGCTTTCTTTAGGATCCTCCTCCCGAGTTTCCTGAAGCAGAGTCACGATCGTTCACTAAAACTGACACTGTTATAAAAACAGTTTTTCGTCAATTGAAATAAAGCTGAAATAAATTAAATTAAATTATAATTATTAGATGAAAAACTATTTATTGTTATTTCGTTTTGGTTATTATTTTGAACTAGATTTTATTTATTTTTTCTGCTTTCATGTTAATATTAGTTAAAGTTTTAGTAATTTTGTTGTGTGTTTTTGTCATTTTTGATTTTTGAAATATGTCTAGTTTTTATAAATTTTTATTTCAGTTTTAATTTTACTTATTTTAGTACATCAAGTTAAACTAAATGAAAATGAGAAATGTTGTCTTGGAAACTAGCTGAAATGTAATTTATTTCAAGTAACGCAAATGTATTTTTATGGTTTTAGTTTTAGATTTATAACCCTGAGGAAAATAAGAAAAGTTGCCTTGTCAATTAGACTATTAAAAAATAATTTTTTATAGTTGTAAACAAAGATTATTGGAATAGGTTTTACTAGAAAATACTGTTTTTCAGTCTTTCTACTTCAAAATTTAATGTTTAATTCAATTACTTGCCATTTCTGTAATTTCATTTGTGAAATCTACTTGCAATTTTCGAGTGAAAATTGTTTTTTCTGTGTGACTGAAATACATTTAAGTTGAAGCACTAAAATTACTAACTGAAAATGAATACAAACTTTAACTTAAATTATAAAAATAAAAGAAACTTAAATAATAATAATATTTAAAAGAAACAAAAACTGCTAAAAACTGTTCAAAAGCACATTAGAAAATTACTAATAATTAAACTGAAATTAAAATCTGAACATATAAAAATTAAAAGAAAAGAAAATTAATAAAAAATAATTTAAAATATTAATAAAACTGTAATAAATAGTACTGAAATAACACTTGCCTGTAGAATTATACACTCTTATGATACTTGTATGGTGATTTTTGTTCTTTTAGGATCTAAACAGATGTTGAATGGACCAAATGGTAAGAAGATTCTCCAAAAATTGACATTATGATTCCACGGATGAAGGAAAGTCATGAGAAAGTCATTAAGTGAGTAAATCAAAGTTTATTTATGTGTGAATTGTTCCTAAAACACAGATACTTGACATTGTGATTGTGACAAATTGCAGATTAACAAATTTATATTTTTCTTTATGCATTTGGTAACTTACATTGCATTGAAGGCATTTTTGTTTTTATCAGTTCGTGCATTCACTGGGAATCGAACTCATGACCATGGTGTTGCGAGCGCCATGATATATTCTTCCAGATGAAAACGCACACATGGACTGCGATTGTGAGTCAAAAATGTAACTATTTACTGCTTGCAACATCATTGCATGTTGTTTCATGTACCATTTTGTAAAAATCTGTGTTTCTATTTACTTACGTGCAAGAAAGTTGTCCAGAGCCTGAACGTACGAGTCCCAGTTCTCTGTTTTCTCCACATTATAAACGATTTCTAGTAGATCCGTTTTTGGCTGAATCATCATGCCTAGAGAAACACACAGAGTCAGGAGATTGCGTGTGTGTGTGTGTGTGTGTGTGTGTGTGTGTGTTTGTGTGTGTGTGTGTGTGTGTGTGTGTG